ATATACGCACCCAACATAGGAGCACCGCAATATGTAAGGCAAACACTAATGAGTATGAAAGAGAAAATTAATAGTAACACAATAATAGTGGGAGACTTTAATACCCCACTCACAACTATGGATAGATCAACTAAACAGAAAATGAACAAGGAAACACAAACTTTAAAGGACACAATGGACCAGCTAGACCTAATTGACATCTGTAGGATGTTTCACCCCAAAACAATCAACTTCACCTTTTTCTCAAGTGCACACGGAACCTGCTCCAGAATAGATCACATCCTGGGCCATAAATCTAGTCTTGGTAAATTCAAAAAAATTGAAATCATTCCAGTCATCTTTTCTGACCACAGTGCAGTAAGATTAGATCTCAATTACAGGAAAAAAATTATTAAAAATTCAAACATATGGAGGCTAAACAACACGCTTCTGAATAACCAAAAAATCATAGAAGAAATCAAAAAAGAAATAAAAATATGCATAGAAATGAATGAAAATGAAAATACAACAACCCAAAACCTATGGGACACTGTAAAAGCAGTGCAAAGGGGAAGATTCATAGCATTACAGGCCTACCTCAAGAAACAAGAAAAAAGTCAAATAAATAACCTAACTCGACACCTAAAGCAACTAGAGAAGGAAGAAACAAAGAACCCCAGTGTTAGTAGAAGGAAAGAAACCTTAAAAATTAGGGCAGAAATAAATGCAAAAGAAACAAAAGAGACCATAGCAAAAATCAACAAAGCTAAAATCTGGTTTTTTGAAAAAATAAACAAAATTGACAAACCATTAGCAAGACTCATTAAGAAACAAAGGGAGAAGAACCAAATTAACAAAATTAGAAATGAAACTGGAGAGATCACAACAGACAACACTGAAATACAAAGGATCATAAGAGACTACTACCAGCAGCTCTATGCCAATAAAATGGACAACTTCGAAGAAATGGACAAATTCTTAGAGAAGTATAACTTTCCAAAACTGAACCAGGAAGAAATAGAAGATCTTAACAAACCCATCACAAGCAAGGAAATCAAAACTGTAATCAGAAATCTTCCAGCAAACAAAAGCCCAGGACCAGATGGCTTCACAGCTGAATTCTACCAAAAATTTAGAGAAGAGCTAACACCTATCTTACTCAAACTCTTCCAGAAAATTTCAGAAGAAGGTAAACTTCCAAACTCATTCTATGAGGCCACCATCACCCTAATTCCAAAACCAGACAAAGATGCCACAAAAAAAGAGAACTACAGGCCAATATCACGGATGAACATAGATGCAAAAATCCTTAACAAAATTCTAGCAAACAGAATCCAACAACATATTAAAAAAATCATACACCATGATAAAGGTGGGCTTTATCCCAGGAATGCAAGGATTCTTTAATATCTGCAAATCAATCAATGTAATACACCACATTAACAAATTGAAAGATAAAAACCATATGATTATCTCAATAGATGCAGAAAAAGCCTTTGACATAATTCAACATCCATTTATGATTAAAACTCTCCAGAAAGCAGGAATAGAAGGAACATACCTCAACATAATAAAAGCTATAAATGACAAACCCACAGCAAGCATCACCCTCAATGGTGAAAAATTGAAAGCATCTCCCCTGAAATCAGGAACAAGACAAGGGTGCCCATTCTCACCACTACTATTCAACATAGTTTTGGAAGTTTTGGCCACAGTAATCAGAGCAGAAAAAGAAGTAAAAGGAATCCAGATAGGAAAAGAAGAGGTGAAACTCTCTCTGTTTGCAGATGACATGATCCTCTACATAGAAAACCCTAAAGACTCTACCAGAAAATTACTAGAGCTAATCAATGAATATAGTAAAGTTGCAGGATATAAAATTAACACACAGAAATCTCTTGCATTCCTATACACTAACAAAGAGAAAACAGAAAGAGAAATTAAGGAAACAATACCATTCACCATTGCAACAAAAAGAATAAAATACTTAGGAGTATATCTACCTAAAGAAACAAAAGACCTATACATGGAAAACTATAAAACACTGATGAAAGAAATCAAAGAGGACACAAACAGATGGAGAAATATACCGTGTTCATGGATTGGAAGAATCAATATTGTCAAAATGGCTATACTACCCAAAGCAATCTATAGATTCAATGCACTCCCTATCAAGCTACCAATGGTATTCTTCACAGAACTAGAACAAATAATTTCACAATTTGTATGGAAATACAAAAAATCTCAAATAGCCAAAGTAATCTTGAGAAAGAAGAATGGAACTGGAGGAGTCAACCTGCCTGACTTCAGACTCTACTACAAAGCCACAGTCATCAAGACAGTATGGTATTGGCACAAAGACAGAAATATAGATCAATGGAACAGAATAGAAAGCCCAGAGATAAATCCACGAACCTATGGTCACCTTATCTTTGACAAAGGAGGCAAGGATATACAATGGAAAAAAGACAACCTCTTTAACAAGTGGTGCTGGGAAAACCGGTCAACCACTTGTGAAAGAATGAAACTAGAACACTTTCTAACACCATACACAAAAATAAACTCAAAATGGATTAAAGATCTAAATGTAAGGTCAGAAACTATAAATCTCCTAGAGGAGAACATAGGCAAAACACTCTCCGACATAAATCACAGAAGGATCCTCTATGACCCACATCCCAGAATTTTAGAAACAAAAGCAAAAATAAACAAATGGGACCTAATGAAACTTAAAAGCTTTTGCACAACAAAAGAAACTATAAGCAAGGTGAAAAGACAGCCCTCAGATTGGGAGAAAATAATAGCAAACGAAGCAACAGACAAAGGATTAATCTCAAAAATATACAAGCAACTCCTCCAGCTCAACTCCAGAAAAATAAATGACCCAATCAAAAAATGGGCCAAAGAACTAAACAGACATTTCTCCAAGGAAGACATACAGATGGCACAAAAACACATGAAAAGATGCTCAACATCACTCATTATCAGAGAAATGCAAATCAAAACCACAATGAGGTACCATTACACACCAGTCAGGATGGCTGCTATCCAAAAGTCTACAAGCAATAAATGCTGGAGAGGGTATGGAGAAAAGGGAACCCTCTTACACTGTTGGTGGGAATGCAAATTAGTTCAGCCGCTATGGAAAATAGTGTGGAGATTTCTTAAAAAGCTGGAAATAGAACTACCATATGACCCAGCAATCCCACTTCTGGGCATACACACTGAGAAACCAGATCTGAAAGAGACACGTGCACCCCAATGTTCATCGCAGCACTGTTTATAATAGCCAGGACATGGAAGCAACCTAGATGCCCATCAGCAGACGAATGGATGAGGAAGCTGTGGTACATATACACCATGGAATATTACTCAGCCATTAAAAAGAATTCATTTGAATCAGTTCTAATGAGATGGATGAAACTGGAGCCCATTATACAGAGCGAAGTAAGCCAGAAAGATAAAGAACATTACAGTATACTAACACATATATATGGAATTTAGAAAGATGGTAACGATAACCCTATATGCAAAACAGAAAAAGAGACTCCGATGTATAGAACAGACTTGTGGACTCTGGGAGAAGGCGAGGGTGGGATGTTTCAAGAGAACAGCATCAAAACATGTATATTATCTAGGGTGAAACAGATCACCAGCCCAGGTTGGATGCATGAGACAAGTGCTCGGACCTGGTGCACTGGGAAGACCCAGAGGGATCGGGTGGAGAGGGAGGTGGGAGGGGGGACCAGGATGGGGAATACATATAAATCCATTGCTAATTCATTTCAATGTATGACAAAAACCACTGCAATGTTGTAAAGTAATTAGCCTCCAACTGATAAAAATAAATGAAAAAAAAAAACACTTAAAAAAAAGAAAGATATGATATATTGAATAATAGGAACTAAGCTAAATAGTTTCTATTTAGCTATTTAAATAGGGGAAACAATGGAAACAGTTCCCAATTTAGATGGGGAAACAATGGAAACAGTGACAGAGATTATTTTTTGGAACTCCAAAATGACTGCAGATGGTGACTGCAGCCATGAAATTAAAAGATGCTTGCTCCTTGGAAGAAAAGCTATGACCAACCTAAACAGTATATTAAAAAGCAGAGACATTACTTAGCCACAAAGTCCATCTAGACAAAACTATGGTTTTTCCAGTAGTCATGTGTGGATGTGAGAGTTAGACCATAAAGAAAGCTGAGCGCCCAAGAATTCATGGTTTTGTTTTGTTTTTTTTTTTTAATTACAAAACTCAAGTCCCTTTATTCACTTTCTAAACACAAACATGAGAATAAAATAAACACACCCAACTCACTAGCCCTTGCAGGACAGGAAGGAGCCCTACACGAAGAGCCTGCCAATGTTTCTCCTTGCACTTAAGTCTGCATCTCCTCAGGCATTCCAGGGTCCTGCTCTTGACACCTCTTGCAGGGGAAAGGAAGTGGTAGCTAAAAAAGAGTCACCTACAAGGGGGTCACAGTGACCTTACAGCTGTTTGATGCTACTGGCCTGTAAACTCTGATTTGCAACTCTCAGAAACTGATAGTATCAAATAAGCATTGTTAAAACCCTACCACCCCTGGCTAACTTTTACTGTCAATTCTTTGAAACTGCATCTTTAGGACTGGTTATGTTCCTTCACTGTAGCTTCTGATTATCCTCAAGCACAAACCCTAAAATCCATACAGTTTCTAAGTTCAAGTACAAAGGTTCGCTTCAGGACAAACCCCAAAGTGATGTAGTGTTTCTTAGTATGTCTGTAGTGTCTACGGGGTGTCACCCTCTTGGACAGGCTAGCTGGACGGCAGCACAACGTGGGGGCCCACATGGTCAACTTTTCTATAGCCCCACTTGCTCCCTATTCCCTCTGGACACCGCCCCACAGTCAGCATTGAATTCTGAAGTCAGTGAGGACTTCGGCCTGTCTTCATTCTGAAGTTGTGCTCTTATGTAACTGAATCCAGGTCTTCACCATTAATTCAATGGAGCTTCCAAAACATGTCAGGCATATTTTTAGGAAGCGTCCTGGGATGGAGCAGCAGGGTCCTGGCTTTCAGGCTCTGGAGGTGGTGCTGGCACGGCTTCTTTTTTCTGGGCTGCCATGAACTCATGAATTGCTTGTTCTATCTGTGGTCTGAAGATGTGGTTCAGTTTGGGATCCACCACCTGGGAAATAATTCTGTCCACTCCAGCTTCCAACATCCCTGACTGAACCACACTCTGCCTCAGACCATTTCGCAATTGGTTTTTGTTCATCATGGGATTCCATTCCTGCTTGTCCAGATGTGTTGACACAAAATTATCCACTTTTTGCCTCAGGTTTTGGTAAGCTGGCTCATAGGGTGTTCTCAGCAACAAGCAAGGGCCCACGAAAGCCCTCTGCACAAAAGGCAAAGTCTATGGAACACTGGGAGAGGCTGACAGGAAGCAAAGCCTAAGTCCCCAAAGGAGTCTGACTGGCACTCAGTTCAGCTCATTTCAGTCATGTCCGACTCTTTGCGACCCCATGAAGCGCAGCACACCAGGCCTCCCTGTCCATCACCAACTCCCGGAGTTTACTCAAACCCATGCCCATTGAGTCGGTGATACCATCTACCCATCTCATCTTCTGTCGTCCCCTTCTCCTCCTGCCCCCAATCCCTCCCAGCATCAGGGTCTTTTCCAATGAGTCAACTCTTTGCTTGAGGTGGCCAAAGTACTGGAGTTTCAGCTACAGCATCAGTCCTTCAAATGAACACCCAGGACTTATCTCCTTCAGGATGGACTGGTTGGATCTCCGTGCAGTCCAAGGGACTCTCAAGAGTCTTCTCCAACACCACAGTTCAAAAGCATCAATTTTTTGGCGCTCAGCTTTCTTCACAGTCCAACGCTCACATCCATATATGACCACTGGAAAAACCATAGCCTTGACTAGACGGACCTTTATTGGCAAAGTAATGTCTCTGCTTTTTACTATGCTATCTAGGTTGCTTGCCTTCCAAGGAGTAAGCTCTCCTTGACTGGCATTACTGCTCTCTAAATCCAACTAGTATGAGGAGAACAAAATCAGAAAGGAGCTTGATGAACAAGGGAATGCATGTGAACAAAAGGAATGTGCATTCTGAGCCTCCAAAATCTTCTGGCACCATCATCTGCTGTTGTCCAAACCTGCTGTAACAGTGTGCATTGCTGTTTCACACTTCACTCCTCTCTCCTCCCACTGTGGCCAGGGACCACTTCCCTACCCCACTGATGCTGCATTTAGCAGTGTGATCTTCTTTGGCCAATGAAGTTCCTGGTGGCTCAGCTGGTAAAAAATCTGCCTGCAGTGTGGGAGACCTGAGTTCGAGCCCTGGGTTGGGAAGATCCCCTGGAGAACGGAAAGGCTACCCACTCCAGTATTCTGGCCTGGAGAACCCCATGGAGTGTATAGTCCATGGGGGTCGCAGAGTTGGACACGACTGAGTGACTTTCACTTTGATAATACTGTGTCGCTGACAAGAAGTCCTAAATGTGGCTGCGCCATCTGGCATGGCTCTGGTACTCTGGTGACCTTCTATGAGGGTGTATTCTTTGCAACCTCTATCCCTCGGGCCTGGGATGTAGGAAAAGTACACATGCAAAGATCCTCCCCTAACCACAGCTTGGACCTAAGCCCAGGTTGCCTATAGCTGAGCCACCAAGTCTATCTAGATCAGCTGAACTTGAGCTGACTTGCAGTCCCATCAGCATGCAAACAAATGCTTATTGTAAGCCACTGAGATTTGGTTTATTATGTAGTGTTATTCTGGCAAAAGTCTGTTAACAGTCAGGTAGGTGACACTGACAAAGGAATCAAGAGGCCTCAATTCTGTGAGTGGGCTCTTCCCAAAGGCCATGACTCACAAACACTCTCCACCAAACCTTGGTGTCCACGTCGGCCAGGCAGTCCCGGCAGAAGCTGTCAGAGACCCCGGCTCTTGAGTTGCTCCACGATGAGCACGATGAGCTGCGGGTCGCCGGGGGGCAGTGAGGCCAGGTTGATGAGGCCGCCGCCCCCGCCGGCGCCAGCCGCCGCCCCCACGCACCGCGCCGGTGCCCCTGCCGCCCCCGCCGTCAGCCATGGCTGCGCCCCGGGCCCGCGAAGGGGCCCGAGTAAGGCTTCTTCTCAGGAACAGAGGGCCTAGGTCGTGGAGAGGTGGCGGAGGGGCCCGAAAAGGTGAAAGCGGCGGCGGCGAGGGGGACGGAAGAGGAAGGGGCGGTGGCGGCGTCGACAGCAGCCGCGGGAGTCTTTCAGGTAGCGGAGCTGCTGCCAGAGGCGGCGGAACCCGCCCGCTGCGTCCAGGACGCTCTCCGAATCGAATTCATGGTTTTGAACTGGGATGTTGGAGAAGACTCTTGAGAGTCCCTTAGATTACAAGGAGATCAAATCAGTCAATCTAAAGGAAATCAGTCCTGAGTATTCATTGGGAGGACTGATGCTGAAGCTGAAACTCTAATACTTTGGCTACCTGATGCCAAGAGCCAACTCATCAGAAAAGACCCTAATGCTGGGAAAAATTGAAGGTATGAGGAGAAGGGAATGACAGAGAATGAGATGGTTTGATGGCATCAACGACTCGATGGACATGAGTTTGAGTAAGCAATGGGAGTTGGTGATGGATAGGAAAGCCTGTCATGCTGCTGTCCATCGGGTCACAAAGAGTTGAACACGATTGCGTTGAACTGAACTGATTGAAGTTAAATAGGCCTTTAGTGTGGAATTTTATGTTAATCTGGCTGGAAATTGAGCTGTGTTTAATGTTAACTATAGTTGTAAGTGTCAGGGATCTTAAATACACTTAGTGTTCTAGCTTTTGTCTTTATATATTCATAAGGATATCATCTTCTTTGAGTCTGAGCTTTACGGCCAAATTAGTTGTAATTCACTCTTACTGAAGTCATCTTAATATTGTAATAAGAAATGGTGGAGGGAGGCATTCTATAATCTTATGATTAATCTTTAGTGAACCTGTATTGTTTGGATTTCCACAAAAGTTTCTTTCTACCATCCTTAGGTAAGACAGAAAGGTTATGTGGGCTGTAGTTAGGTACTTGGACTTCCCATCTATTTTAGATAAGTCCCTGGTAAAGTGTTTCTCACTAGAAAGTATGCTTTTATTATGAAGAATATATTGGGTGTATTTTAAAATGATTACTTTTCCTCTCTCCCTGAGGCTCCCCACCAAATAAATACATGATTTTTCCTTGACTCTTCACCATGATAGCCTTGTGAGATACGTGGGAGTTAAAATCTACAAAAGTGTGGAACCTTTCTGTCTGTGTGTGCTAAGTCCCTCAGTCATGTCCGACTCTTTGCAACCCTACAGTCCACCAGTTCTTCGGTCCAAGGGATTCTCCAGGCAAGAACACTGAAATAGGTTGCCAACTCCTATACCAGTGGATCCTCCCCATCCAGAGATCGAACCCATGTCTCTGATGTCTCCTGCATTGGAGGCAGGTTCTTTACCACTAGTGCTACCTGGAAGCCCTCTGTATCTGCAGTCACCAAGAGTTCATTCTTAAGCTTATATGCACTGAGCCGTCAATAATTCCTCAAAATTCCTTTCTAAGCATTTCTACCAGTTTGTGTCTCCAGTGGTTTCTGCATGTAGGTAAGTTGATTTCAACTATCTGTCTTTATTCACCTGTCTTTTCAAGTTTTGCTGTGGCAATTGGCCTTGCAACCTCAATTCTCTCGTGGATCCAAGAAGTGTCACTGGTTTTGTGTTAATTTGGCTGTTTTTCTTTTGGTGTGTCTCTTTGTGTGTGGTAAGGGATACTTCCAAGCTCATTTTATGTGAGAGCTGAAATAGTACACATAGTTTCAATCTTACCTTTTAGCAGAATATAATTATAAGTTGAAATGATTGCCTCACAAATAATGTGGACTAAATAAATATTCCAAATTAACAATGGTTCTTAAGAAAATAAAACAGATACACAGAACCAGTTTTTTGTTTTTGTTTTTTCTTTAACATCATTATTGACTTTTATCATAATAGAATTTAGTATGAGTAGCAATTTAGTGTAAATATTCTTTGGTCTCAACTAAATCAAGGTTCAGGATAATCTTTAAATTGAGGATACATTTTTATGGAAAACACTTTTGGAGTTAAGTCTACTCCAAATCTAGTGTAAAACTTCAGAGAAAGATAAAAGATTTTAAAATATTTGAAAAATACATAAGGGGAGTGTAGGTATTACTTAATGATACCCATGATGATTTCTTTATAATTTATAAATTGACTCTAGTAGAAATATATAAGTTCTAGAAATGAATTGAAGAATCTAGAATCATTAAAATGAATATTAAATCCCCAGGAAGACTGACCTGATTAATTGAATAGAGGGTTTTCCTTTATACATAAAGCTTCCTCTGTTCATGAGATGAAAACAAAATCACTTGTGAAGTAAAGAGTTTGTACTCTTTATCAGATTACATTTAGTCCCAAGTAGCTCTTCTAGCTTTTAATTTTACATTTTTATTTTCTTTAGACATCAGCAGTGCTGTTGAAAACAACAGTTACTTGGGTGCCATATTAAAAAAATGTCTTCTGATACTTTAAATAGCCTAAAATTAATAATTGCTTGCTGTTATTAAAATCTCAAGTATTCTTCTAATACACCGGCTTTTCTGATACTTCTGCTTTATTGACTATGCTAAAGTCTTTGACTGTGTGGATCACAACAAACTGTGGAAAATTCTTAAGGAGATGGAAATACCAGACCACCTTACCTGCCTCTTGAGAAAACTGTATGCAGGTCAAGAAGCGACAGTTAGAACCGAACATGGAACAATGGACTGGTTCCAAATTGGGAAAGCAATACTTCAAGGCTGTATGTCATCACCCTGCTTATTTAACTTACATGCAGAGTACATCATGAGAAGTGCTGGGCTGGATGAAGCACAAGCTGGAATCAAGATTGCCAGAAATATCAAAAACCTCACATACGTAGATGACACCACCTTTATGGCAGAAAGCTAAGAGGAACTAAAGAGCATTTTCGTTAAAGTGAAAGAGGAGAGTCAAAAAGTTGGCTTAAAACTCAACATTAAAAAAACAAAGATAATTGCACCAGAACCCATCACTTCATGGCAAATAGTTGGGGAAACAATGGAAAGAGTGACAGACTTTATTTTCTTGGGCTCCAAAATCACTGCAGATAGTGACTGCAGCCATGAAATTAAAAGACACTTGCTCCTTAGAAAAGCTATGACAAACCTAGACAGCATATTAAAAATCCAAGAGATTACT